TTCATATTTCATGGACCAGTTTTCACGTCAGCCCCGTTACAACGTTTCATGCCGCCGCCACCAGATGTCAGCCGCTTCGCTTTCTATCGCGAATAAACAGTTGACCCTGCCGCCGCCGGACACGCTGCGGTAGCGCTCTCTGTCATGCGCGAGTTTGGACCGATTTTCGTGCGCCGCCCGGTGCGCTCTTATTTGGTACATTGTTTGCATAAATAGGATAGGTTAGATCATAAATAAAAACATATTTTGGTGCGCGAGTTTGGACCGATTTTCGTGCGCCGCCCGGTGCGCTCTTATTTGGTACGGAGTATAGACTCCCTAACGTTTTTTCATTGAGACCGTACGCACTGTACAGTGTACGGTTTTATTTTTTGTCCGTCTCCTCGCCACGCGACAAATTTTGATTATTTTATTTTTCGCTCGCCCGATCCACGCGTTTACCTTGGTTGAACATACAATTTTGAAAAATTTAGACAAGAGCAAACTTGCTACTAAAAAAAAATGGGATGGCGATCGGGTGAAAATTTGTACGATTGGCTACTGGTCACCTCCAGGCTCTACAACGTTCCCACGACCGGTCCGAGCATCGATGGGCGAGTCTGCTCGGACACGTGACGGCCTTTCCCAGCCGCCGAGGCCAGACCGAAACGGCCGACGGCTACAAATAGCGGCGACTGGTGCTCGATGTTGTGCGTTTTGACGGTCGATGGTGACGACTGACCCGGCAGAAACGGATCGAGTTTTGGAGCCTGCGCAATCGGCGGTCACCACGATGGCACGATGGACAAGCGACCCTGTCGACGTGGGATTACCACATGGCAAGGGTCAATCGTCAGCGGAGTGCGGACCACGGCGCAATTCACCGTTCAGTGGTTCACCGGTGACCTCGAATGTCGGCAATTTTCGCCCTGGCGTTGTCGTTTCCGAGGGTCCGGCGGCGCTGACTTCCGTGATCCTAGTGGCTAACACACATCTCTACCACTCACTCCGCTGCCGCCGTTGTGAGTCGCCATCACTGGCTCGAGATCGTTGTCCGTGGCTTCACGCGAGTACGCGACCGTACTGCCGCCGGACGCTCACCGAGCAGCCAGAGGGTCTCACGCGTCAACGTCGATCCAGTGCAATACGTCTGTGAAATCTGTCGCGCCGTGGGTGATCGGTGTCGGAGAATGTGTTCAGGTACCATCGACAGGCTCCAACTCCGAGAACGGCGATCCGACTGGCCAACGAAAATATTGACTCCTCGACTGTAGCTCAGTAGATTTAAAAACGTCGCCGTCTTCATCATCATCAGTCTCAGAATCGTTGCCGGTCTCATCATCATCGTTCTGGACGAGTAAATACTGTTCTTGCTGACTAAGCGAATAGGTCTCTGCGATTGAGACCCATTTTTCAGAGTCATCCGAGCTTATCTAATCAAAAACCAATTACGTTGCATAATATATTGTAAATCGTAACTACAAGAAAAATGTACTTTTTCAATAGAAACATTTGACCCTGCTTCATGTTGAGTATTGTGGTTCCGTTTTCCGTTCTCTCCAATGTTTCCAATTTCCGATTCGTTTGTATTTGCCAATTTCTCAAGCCGGTATTTTTTCTCCATATTGTTCCCACGAGTTGGGATGAAATAAAAAGTCGCACTGCGGCAGTGCAGCGTAACGCAGTGAAGGCAAATACTGTGAGGGGTGCCAAGTTCCTACAGGTTCCAAGTGGACACAAACTGACCTCTGTGTCAAGTACTCCCCCTTCACGAGTTTGGGGATTGAGGGTTTTTTTTTAGGGTTATCTTCTCTTTAGGGCATTAGCTCAAAAGCAAACGCTTTCCTCGGTGAAAAAGGCCTCCTATAAACAAATAATTGGAAAGACGTAAGTAACATTTGCTTCTAACAAAAATACAAATTTCTAGCATATTACCCATTGACTATTGGTCATGTATATCACTTGGTAATATAATATAATCAATGTCTTAAAAAATTTGTTTTTACATTTCTGTTTTGCTTAGGCTTCTGAAATGATTGAATTCTTTAATAAATGGTTTGACTTATTTAATACTCAACATAAATATGATAAAGGGTTTTGGTTTAGATTATGAAAGTCAAGAACAAATTATAAATATGATGACAACATTTATTAAAAATATGAGAATTCATGACAAGATGACACTGCTTCCTTTTCAAAAAGGTTTGCTTATACAAATAAGTATAATGTTGAACATAAATTAATATAAATTTGTGTTAATTTATACTTCATAGGAATAATAATATCAAATACATCACTCTTGAATTTGTATAAAGATGTTAAACGTATATTTCCTTATATTCTTACTAACTAAACCAAGATATTCTGGAAAATATGCTTAGTTATCTAAAGAGGATGGCTGGATTAGCAAGTAATAATATTACAGCATTAGATTTCAAATATTGGTAATTATAAGTGTGATATATAGTTTTATTTTTGTTAACAGCTCACATTTAAAATTTTCTTTTATGAACATTATTATTTAGTCTCCGATGGAATATTTTGGAGAAACATTAAAATTTTGTTTTCATAAATATAGAAACTGTACTAGCATATAAATTGTTTGGTGACAATGGGTGTTTGCCAAGTCAAAAACTTAAGTGGCTATATTGTATGCTAAAAATTTTCAACAAATATATCAGTTCAGGAAGAAACTACGGCTTTGTTAAAAGATTTTGAACTTGAAGTACATTAACCATGATAATAATATATTTAAACATTTAGCCATTTATGTACCTTCACATAATTAAACACTTTTTTAATTTTTTAGATAAATATAGAAGATGTGTTTGACAGCGTGGAATTGGAATGCGTAGAGCATGTTGCTGGATATGTCACCAGCAGATATTATGAAAAATATCCACAACTCACATCTACTAAAGAGGAACATACCATGTGTTGGACAAATTTTTTATTAAAAATTCCAAGTAAAATGTTGTTAAAAGCTATGCAATTATTAGAAACATATTTTACAAAACAACACGGAAAAAATGTATCCAAAATACCTGGAGTCATGAAAAGTATAACCAACATCACGAAAAAAAAAATCCTCAGACTATAAGTTGGACATTCCTGAGGAGGGTTGAGTTGTATGGTTTGATTAGTGTAAAGAACATGAATAAATCCATATTGTATAATAGGTTTGCACAAAAAACCAAACAAACTAAAAAAAAATTACTGCCTAGAATTTATAATACATAATTGTATAAAGGATTATAATATTATAGTACACTTAGAAATTATAAAATAAAAAATTTACATACTAAATATCATGACAAAGTAGATATTTGTTTTCTTCATGATCTTCCCAACAATTGATGTAATCAAGATTATCTTTTAAAATCATTTATAATAAATACTATACTATTATATTCAAATTGTTATTTATAATTTATATAACTACCTGGAAATCAGGACTTTCGATTTTTATTCCTTCTACAGGGTACTTTCGGTTTAATACATCAAAAAGTTTATCAAATCGATCAGTAAAGAGTTGTTTGAGAGCTATTTTTTAAAGATTCTACTTATACATTTCTTCGATAAAATTCTAAGCCTTTGGCCGTGGATCGCTACAAATCTGAAATTAATTAATACATGTATTATATTAAACTTGTTTTTGATCATTGTTTTTTCAAATTTTACCCGAGGAACCAATTTGACATTCATTTTACTGAAACCATTAACTTGTAAATGTCTAAGCGTAATTTTGGGACAAACTTGTTGGGGAATTTGAATTTCTCTTCATATCATTATCACATACATCAATTTAATGTGACCATCTTATGTGTGGAGACTCTTGGAAACCATTTAACATTTAATATTAATGACAATCATTTGAACTATTTATCTTTTAGAAATACTAAATTTAAAAAACCTAACCTAACCTACATAGTTAATTATCTACAAAAATTATTAGTTTGATTCAGAAAATCTGAAAATCAAACATATAAATACCTACATGTTTTCTAATTTATGAATACCCACCTGCCACTAGTCCTCTGGATACAACAATTGCAATTGGTTGTGTGAAATTTAGAGCTAAACTCTGAAGCATAAACACCAATGCGTTATTGGCATTTTAACCAGAAGATTCACTCCCCCCCCCCTCTTAAAAACATTTCATCATAAACCAACATTCTATGTTTTTGTTCAGTTCTGAGAATACCACCTTTTTTTAACTGAAAAAAATCTTTTATTAAACCCAAAGCTAATATCTAATAAAGACAAATATTTCTGGATAGTTCTTCGACAAAGTAAAGGCAATATTCCTTGTTCCCTTAAAAATTCTTAAGTGAAAGGTGATCTGAAAAAATTTGATTATTAATATTTTTGACCACTTTGTCTAAGTGAATATTTTTACCTAATTTTCAACAACATGCATTAGAAAATCCAATTCTTGGAATAACGTTTATTTTTTAAATTTGTGACTTTACTAGCATTTACAATTTATTGGACTATTGTTTTTTGTGAATTATACAAGTTTGTATGTTCAATGAAATCATTTAATGATTTATTTGTTAAGTCCTTTGATTTATTCTGTTAGGTGTGTCTTCGGTGTTTTTCTAACATATTATATTCCCAAGAGAGAAACTTTTGAAAAAAAAAACAGTGGTTTAATCAATGTTTTGTGACTTTATTTTATGATCATATTTTATTATTTATACTATTCAATTAAACGGAAATAATTATATTGCTGGATTCGTCATTGCCTGCTTATAGCGTTTGATTTTAATATACATACTTACAGTTATTTAAAACTGTAAAACATCTATCAAATTACTAGGTACACAGTTTATATTCAACCAAACTGATGACGACGCACTTGCTGGCTAGTAACACACAACGCTGTACTCGTTGTCCGGGAAATATTTGTTTTTATCCGTGGTAGCATAGGACGTCATTGTAATTTGCTTCGACCATATAAGCTTAAATGGTCGAAGGTAATTTGTAATAGTTGTGTTCATATCTATTTCTGAGTCCTAACAAGCATATTCTTACGTCACCAAAATCATAAATTTTGAATATTTCAATGTCAACATAATAGTAGTCGTCAATCAGCTACTAAAGCAAATTGGAGATCTGTACGACTGTACGGCGAAGACAAACCTCATAGCAAGGTGGAAATGTAAGTAGGTAAATGATAAAAAAAACCATACTCGCTTTTCAAAAATGGCAATAAATGAAATATTTCATAACTATACTCCGGGGTAATCGGAAAAAAAATCCCTGGAAAAAAAATCCCCGGAAATAAAATCCCCGTTAAAAAATCCCCGGTAAATAAAATCCCCAGAAAAAAAATCCCCGGAAAAAAAATCCCCAAAGCAACTATTTAAAAAAGTACATAATTATAATTAGTAAAAAATTTTAAAATTAGTAAAAATTAGATAATTAGAAAATAAGTAAAAAAAAAATAATATAATATTAGTTAGTTAATTAATAATAAAATAAATGTATATAATTATAGTCAGATTCGGTTCAGTCGGTTCGTTTTCTTATATTGTTAGACACAGCTGTCAAAAAGTCTCCAATGCTTAATTTATCTTCACTTTGTCTTATAACTAACTCTTTCAAGCGGATATTTATTGTTTGATTTTGTCCTCTTTTTGTACGTCTTGGTTCACCTAAAGCATCCAATGCTAACTGTGCTCGATCGGCGTCAATTTCATTTTTAATTTTCCTAATAAGTTTCCACATTGTAGGATGTTTTTGACCAACTAGTTTGGAAAACCTATTATTCCACCCTTCAACGATGTTGTTGGTTCTGTGGCAGTCATTGAGGGTGGTTTTATTTACATTCCACACAGCTGGTGGGAACATTGGTGGCAGTTTTCGAAACCTCATGTTATTTTCGTCGTTTCCAATTCTTCGATACTTGCCATTTACATAATACGAATCAAAATAATCTAATAAATCCATAAGATTTTCAGGCAAACTATATTTTAAATATTTCATTCCATCTTCTACGAGGTGCAATGGAAGGAATGCAAGTGCATCAATCATTCCACATTGTTTTCGAAACTCTTCATCCTTATGGTATTTCGAAGCAAAGCCCAATTCTTGTATTTTCCTGAACGTCGATTGACATAAGTGATAGAAGCAGCCTTTTATATCAATATGGACACCAATTACTTCTTTAGCTGCTTCAATAACTGCGCTTTCAAAATCGAGATGTAAACATTTGGGGTCAGGGTATACATTTCGTTCAGCACATTCATCCATTATAATTTGAAACATTTCTACGTATGTATTTTTAGTTTTCCTTTGTAAAATACAGTAAATCGTAGTTACAAATACATTATTTTTTTTTACCCGTATTACATATAACTGTAGGAAAAACTTTGGAGACAGTCCGAAATTCCCGTCTAAATACCAAGTATCTGATTCTGAAAGCAGTTGCAAGTGTTCATCTGTTGCAAATATAATTATCCTTTCAGATGCCTCTGGACCATTATCCCTCAATAATAGTCTATTATTACCCAATAATGCCCATTCACCTGTAATAAAATAGATATAATTTGTTAAGTATAGGATTTTATTTTCTAATTAATATAATTAAAAAAAAAAATTTACCATCAATAACAATTTCTTTGATATTTTGAGGTTCGTTCGGATTATGAAAACTTCGATGATATCTAATACTACGTTTTAAATATTCTTCCTTGGGTAACTCAGCTAAAACATCGACATCCAGATTCCCGATTACCTCCGAAAATATTTGGCCGGGTGTATCATTTGAGGATAAAGCTTTATTTTTTATTTCTTGTTTAACTTTTATGGCAGCTATAGCTATAAATAATAACAATTCTTATTTATATTCATTGGCGGAAATCTTGCGAACATAAAATATTTGTAGTTTTATATTTGTTTTTAAATTTGTTTGTATAATATTTTACATAATATTTTATAGGAAAATTAAAATTATAAGTTGGAACACTGTCCTATAGTGATTTATTTTATCGTCTGTCGAATAAAACAAAATCTGTAAAATTATATTCTGGACGTACTAATTGGTTACTAATTCAGTAATAGGTACCTACTTATCAAGGCCTATGATAAAATTGTTATCGACAATAATTTGTCGTGCTACATTAATTTATTAATTAATTAAAATTTGAGAACATATTTATAACACATAAATATATAAGTGTCCTAACTATATGTAAATTATTAAATTAAAATAAATCTTACCATTTTTATCGGCAGAATGATTGTGTTCATGGATCTCCCTTGGATTACTATTTTGAAGCGATGTTTTTAAAATGGCTAAACATTTAAATGAACTATATTTTGCACACCTCCATCTCTTGAAAAACTTACAGTCTTTTTGGTGTACATAAGTATAACCATTTAAGCAAATTTTATAGTTCCCTTGGTTAGATTTAACAATTTCCATAGTCGCATTGATTTCCATAGCCGGACAATTACGGCCTCGCACAGTCACACAAATCAAAGTTACTTAATAGGAACTGAAGATGTACTAACCGTAACCGTTATAATAACGTATAGATACCAAATATTACGTATTTTGAGTTATTTTGACTTGTATTTTCCCAATTTCAAATTTTATTGCTCTATGCCAAGGCCCACCCAACTAGCGGCCCGCGAACCTTTTTTATCTGTAAAATGCTTTCTTATTGCACACTAAATTTGTAGTACGAATGTACCGTGTAAATTGCAAGCCTCGATCTATCATTGTTCAGGCTCAACGTTTATCAGAGAGTGTCCAGTGAGTTAGTCAAGTTATATATTGGTAGTATTATAGTCATTCCGCTTTTAAATAGTTGCTTTGGGGATTTTTTTTCCGGGGATTTTTTTTCTGGGGATTTTATTTACCGGGGATTTTTTAACGGGGATTTTATTTCTGGGGATTTTTTTTCCGGGGATTTTTATTCCGGGATTCATACTCCGGCCCACGAGAGAAGCCATTTCGTGCATGCTGACTGACGGCAGCGACCGTTCCGAGACCTCTATTCCCCCACTTTGTGTCATTCAGTGTCGGGTTGTGGCGTGCATACAGCGCGAAACAAGCGTTATACAGAGTGATTATAATATATTGTCATTCATAATATTAACGTATAGCACGAGTGGAACGAATGTAAATTAAAATTTATTTTTATTTTTAACTTCAATATTTACAAAATTGTACGTAATAGTATAAAAACATGTAAACTTAAAAGTATATAAATACATATGTATAATATAACGTGATATTTCACGTTTAGGTATTAAAAAGTGATTTAGTTTTGTTAGTATTCATAATATATTTTACAATTGTATAAAAAAACAAAAAAATATACATAATATTTAGTACATAAATACAAAAAAAAAATGTAAGTCACTTTTATAAATATTATATTTTAGAATCGTATAACAACAAAAATATATATATAATATTTAGTATATAAATACAAAAAAAAATTTAAGTCACATTTATTAATTAGGTATATATTTTACAATAATTACTCGTCAGAAAAATCAGAAGAAGTGTCACCAGACACCAGTTATAGTCATTATATGTGAATGTGATTCTTCATTATCCAACATATTTTCAGTGATGAAGTCAATTTCATACAATTTGTCTTCTTCTCTGATAGTATGACTAACGAAATTGGCCCACATGTCAGAAGTCACTTTCTGGGATAGTAGGAAAAAAAGTCTCGGTGGAAAAAAGTTATATTTTTATAAAAAAAATATGTCATTGAATCGTAGTCGTATTTAAAAAATAATACATAATATCACATAAATTTAATAATATAAATAATATAAATTATTATCGTTGTAGCTTAATATTTTGAAATATATACACATAGTATATCACATAAAGTTGGATGACTAAACTTATATAATCACTCTGTATAAAACGTTATTATTGTGTGAAAAATACGTTTATACAACGATAAAATCTATTATTCGCATATCATATCTAATGTACGTTAGTTTTGGGTGGACAACCGTAAATAAAATGATTAAGTTTACTATTATATACCAGCTATATCTTTCAATCGTACAGTATATAATAAACTAGACAAAAAATCCGATAATTTTTGGTTTTTACCTACCTATGTTATAGATGGTAGAACGTGATATAATAAAATTATCTTATTACTATTAATTGTATTACATTATGACATTGTGTGTAAGTGTATAACGCCATTCGGTGACATCTGATAACTGTCATAGTAAAGTACTATAGTGCAGTAGATGTTGCAGTCGTAGTAAGACAGTAAGAGTACGTCAAGATGGTTAAAATTACACAGTTATAAAATTAAGATTAGTTTAAAAAGACAGTTAAAATTACAGTTAAAAGTTTACACAGGTTTAATTATTCGAAAAATGGAAATTTTAAAGTCCAATAAAGACAACATAAAAATTGCATTTGAAGGTTTTTTATACACTAAAAAAAAAACCTGCGAGAACCATTTACAGTGAAAGTGCTCAAAAGCATCATCGTTGAAATGTTTTGCAAATTTCACTACCAGTTTGGATTTAGTTGGTCCCAATGTATGGTCAAAATTAAAACGCGACCACAGCCATTTGCCCAATGAAAATTTTGCGATCGTTGAAAAAATTAAATGCAACATGAAACAACAAGCGAAAACCACTTCAAAATTACCAGGGCAAATTTTTTCTGAAACAGTCATTAATCAGCCGAAAGAAGTATTATAACAATTACCTCTTGAAAATTCAATAAAACGAACTTTAAGAAACCAAAGGAGTGAAAATCATCCAAATGACGGCAACTGTGATGATTTGAAAACCCTTAAAGTTGAAGGTGAGTTATACAATGTATTAATCAAATAGGGCTTAAGGTTTAAATAAAATATAAACATTAGGTATAGGGTAGGGTTATACAATTTATTAATCAATAATAGGTTTTAAAGTTTAAATAAAATATATACATTAGGTACCTATATAGGTATAGGGTATACCTATATGTTTTTTTTACATTTTTAAATAAGTATAAAAATTTTTTTATTAATTAAGGTGAATGGGCTTTGTTTCAAAATGAAAATTTGTTGTTGCACGATAATGGTACTGACGCAGAAGAAAGAATTTTGGTTTTCGGTACAGATAACGAATTACAATTACTAGTTGTCGCTGATACTTGGTTCTTAGATGGCAATTTCAAATTAGCTCCAAAACCATTTCTACAGCTGTACGTCGTACGAATAGAAGTTAATAGTGTGTATGTTTCTACTTTATTCATTTTAATGCAGAATAAAACAAGATCATCTTACGAAAGTATGTTTTCCATAATAATGAACATTTGTAAAGATCGAGATTTATACCCAGACCCAACGTTTTTGAATATGGATTTTGAAATTGCTGTGATTAAAGCTGCAAAAAATATCTTAGGTGAACATATAAATATCCGTGGTTGTTTTTATCATCTCACACAAAGCACCCACCGAAAAATACAAGAACTGGGTCTTGAGAATCGGTATCGCATTGCAATGACAACGAGTTCAATCTGTTCTGTTGTATGATAGACGGGTTAGCATTTCTACCAATAAAGTTTGTTGAAGATGGTATGTTACACTTAAAAAATATTGTCCCGTTTGGAGCTGAAGATTTACTTTTATATTTCGACCATACATATGTAAATGGCAAATTTCGCCCAGGTAGACCTTGTAAAAATAATATAATAGTACAATATCGTCGTACCCCGCCACTATTTCCTCCTACAACTTGGAATGTTAATTTGACAACATTGACTGACGGGCACAGAACTAATAATGTATGTGAAAGTTGGAACTCTCGATTTTCACATATGGTTGGACAAAATCACCCATTTGGAAACTAATTACTAAAATTAGATATGAGATCTGCAGACCGCGCAAAATTAGCATTGAATGAACTGGACGAGCACTCAATAAAAAAAAAATAAATAAAATGGAAAGAAGATTAAATGCTTTATGCACTCGTTTTAGGGAAAATAAAATTGAACTAAAAAAATAAAATAAAAAAATAAAAAATAAAAAAAAAAATAAATAAATAAAATTGAAGATTTTTTGAAAGCTATAGGTCAAAATATTAAGCTACAGCGATAACAATTTATAATTTATGTATCTATAGGATTTTTTATAATTATGTAATTATTTTTTTTCTAACTTTGTGTGATATATATATGTTATTTTTTAAATACGATTCAATGACATGTTTTTTTTTAATAAAAATTTCTGTAAAATGTATTAACTTTTATTCTGTAAAATATGTTCCTGACAAGTCATCTAACATTGTGTGATATACATATTTCAAAATATTAAGCTACAACGATAATAATTTATATTATTTATATTATTATATTTATGTAATATTATGTGTTATTTTTTAAATACGACTACGATTCAATGACATATTTTTTTTTATAAAAATATAACTTTTTTTCCATTCCTCACTTTCTGGATACCTTCGATCAGCAATTTTTTAACATCATTTAGTTTAAATGTTGTATTATTTTGTTTAACATGATTTTTCACTGCAGACCATGCAAGTTCTATTGGATTAAGTTCGGCATGGTAAGGTGGCAAACGTAATACATGTCGATTTGTTTTCAAAGCTTCTTCGTCAATTACATATTTAGTGTGAAGAGGTTTAATTTCGTTTACCTTATCAAGCAATCGAAATTTCACCATCGGTTTATCGAAAACAATATCTTTAGACTTCAACAAATTTATTATGTCTTCTTTTTTCCAATTCGCTGTGGGAACCGGGTCTTTTTTGACAGAATGGTACGATGCATTGTCCATAACTATTATTGAATTTTCCTTTAATCAAGGCAGAACTATTCACCATTCATTTCGTCGTGGTAGTCTGCTGTGTTTTTTTTCGACTCAAAACACAATAGACCCCCCTCGACGAAACCATCTGCTGAACCAATATGGACAACTATTAGACGTTTGCCTTTACCTGATGGATTTTGGGGGCCTGTAGATAGTCCTTTCAGGAATGCATCCCTATGAGATTTTACCGAAGTATCAATCCGGGTACACACGAATTGCGTACCAAAACAGGTAAACGAACCTTTTTGAACGAATTGCGTCCCGGACGCAATTCGTGTTACCTTTTCATCTACGGTTAATTATTGTAAGGGGTTCTTAAAGTGATATCGCCATAATAAAGATATGTCAAGTTAAATAAAAAAAATTTAAATTTAATAATTGTAAAAATAT